GTTTCTTGGGATTATTCATTTTGAATAATATTATCAGCTTTTGTCTATTAACAAAACCATCATCATTTCTCTGGGTACAGCCAAGAGTGAGCCACAGCCCCCTTCATAACTCTCCAGGCATCTTTTCTTAACCCTATGGTCCTCCAATTTTTAATGTGTAGAGTTTGAAAATCATTTTCCACGTCATCAGCCTATCGAAGTCTAGGTCTTTCTCTACGTCGGGTCGCAAATGGTTTAGTTAAACTTACTGATAATGCGAAACTATACTTCTAAGAAAGAGTGCTAGATGCTAATGGGTTAAAAATAGAACAGTATGACAGTAGTTAGTCATCATAAAATTAATTGTTAAGATATTTAACTTATTTATTTCAGTATAGATTAACTTTTATTTTTATCAATTGATCGAACACTTCTAAACATGTAGATAACTGGTTTAAAAGACACTTATGAAATACGCCAATTTATCAGACCCATTACCTTAATAAAAATTTCAGACACAAAATTTGTACATAAAAACAAGCCTAAGATATTTTAAAAACCTGAGTTGTACAAGAAAACATATCCATTATTGGAGTGACCTTAGTGTTAAATGTTGCATAAGCAAACGGTCATACTTAATATTCTTTTTTATTTAATGTTTTACTTAAATCAACTAGTCAAAGAAGCATACTGTTACAAAATGTGTATTATTTGCATAAGTAAAGGTAAAAAATAATCTTAATGTCTTAAATGTTTATTACAAGCTGAATTGTACAATAAAATACATCGATTGTTGGCGGGTCCTTACTGGTAAACAAACGAACTTACTTAATTTTCTTTTACATTTTCTGGTTTACTTAAATCATTTAGTCAAATGAGCACATTGTTACACAATCTGTATTGATTGCATAAGTAAAAAGAAAAAATTTGAAATTTCTTAAATATTTATTAAAAGTTCAATCGTACAAGAAAACACATCCATTGTTGGCGTGTCCTCAGTGTTAATTGTTGCACAAACAAACGCTGTTTTCTAATACTCTTTTTTTACTTACTATTTTACTTAAACCAATTTGTCAACGAAGCACATTGTTGGAAAAGGGCGTATCGGCTTCTATTTTTACTTAAAGCGTAAATAAACGTCTTTTCGAATTATTCTCATAAGTAGAAGTAAAAATCAATCGTAGTGTCTTAAATTTTAATTTCAGACTAAATTGTAAAAGAAAATACATCCATTTTTTCTCAAACAAATATTCTGCTCTAATATTCTTTTAAAGTTTCTGTCTTACTTAAATCGGCTAGTCACAAAAAAAAANAAAAAACGTGTTGTTGATTGTATTTAAATCTGTACTATCTTCAATTTTTTCTCCTCTCGCGACTAACCATCTTTAAGAATTATTCGCATAAATATAGAAACAAAAAAAAAAATTTTATGTTCTAAATATTTATTATAAACTGAATTCAACCAGAAAACACATCAATTGTTGGCGTGTTCTTAAAGTTAATTCTTGCACAAACAAACATTATTCTCTAATATTCGTTTAAATTTTCTGTCTTATTTGAATCGGCTAGTTAAAGAAGCACATCATCACAAAAAAAAAATTTATTTTTTGTTATTGGCCATATTTAAATCTGCACTGACATAAACTTTTTTTCCTCTTGTGACTAACCATCTTTAAGAATTATTCTCATATATAGAAATAAAGAAAAAATTTCAAATGTTCTTAATATTTATTATAAGCTGAATTTAACCAGAAAACACATGAATTGTTTTCGTGTCCTTAGTTCTTATAGTGGCTCAAATTAACAGTCTTCCTTAATGTTCTTTTAAATTTTCTGCTATAACTCATGCCAGCTAGCTAAAGAAGCACATTATCACTTATGAATACAACGTAAGCAACAGAGCGAAAGTTAATTAAAGCAGATAAATGTGACGTGTAAATATTAAATTTCCCGTTTTATCGTAAATGTCTTACTCTCGGATATTTGTACAGCAAATATTAAGTATCATCATTTAGAAAAATGCTTGTTTAATCTTTCTTTCTTTGGTAAAAGAGATGGAGGAACTAACAGACTGCAGCGCCACGACGGATGAACTATCATTTTTTTCCCTTCTTTCCATATTCGTTATCTTTGTAACCGCAAATTTTGCTACAGCTAAGTGGCTGTCGTTAAGCAAATTTCATCATTGGTGAACAAACACAAAGGCGTTGACTGTTCCCAGTTTGTGTGTGTTTGGTTTTTGTGTTATCCACATCCTTTTTGGGATAATAAAGGATAAATGACGTTTTATGGAGAACATGAATACATTACTGACTGCATTAAAATTATTATGTTTACAAAGCAAAGAGTCTTCTTCCGTTTCGTAAATCAGTCATGCACTTATTATTGATGTTTTCGCTGAGGTGTAAAGAAACCTAAATGCTTTGATTAAATTTGCAAAATTAGAGTTGGGTAATATGAAGCATCAAAGTGATTTTTCATAAATTGATTCAAATCTTTGCACCTATAGATTCGATGTGCCTAAACTGATTCTAATATTTGAGTTTATGGGTTTTGTTCATCAATAGTTCATTTGAACTTTTAAGCCTAGATATTTTAATTGATCTGAACCTTAAGATTTTATTTGCATCTAGGGATTAAAGTAAACTAATTTCATTAACTGATTCGAATAAGCATATTCAAATCAATATATTAGATTCGCTGATTTGAATAAACTCTTATAAATCAGAGTATTAGATTAACTGGTTTCAATAAACTTATTCAAATCAGCATATTAGATTATCCCAAAATGCGTACAGCTTGTATAGTTATTTTACGGTACGGATCAATAGATGGTGAGGGTATAGTTTAATAGAGCATACTGGGCAGTGGCATTTAATCTTATAAAAAACATCAGCATAGGGTATGAGGGGTGTGGCATTTAACATTTAAAAAAATCCATGGTGGGTATACCGGGCAGTGGCAACTAAAAGAAAACTCAACTATTAAAATAATAAGTGTCTATTACACATGTAGATCGCATATTGGGATATTACCAAATTTTCAACGTAATAGATTAACTCATTCAAATTAATTTTAAAATTTTCAACAAACTTTATTCAAATAAACAGATCAATCAATTGATCGACATGGCTGATACGAAATGATCAATTGGAAATCTATGATTAGTACTAACTGAATCAAATCTACAGTAATTTCACTGGCCATAAAATATCAGTTCTGAAAGTATTAGCCAGACTAACGTTTGCCAGTATTCTCATCAAAAATATGAACAAATTTTAAAATTTTGAGCTATGTAGTTTAAAGAACTTTTTGGTGGCCAAAACTAGATAAAAAATGTGCATTTTGAAGAACTGTAAAATTGCATAAAATGCAGCGAGTTTGGTAAACTCGTTGAACACTCTTCACTGTTTAACTTCTGCGCATCTGAGTCCATATAAGTAAAGTAAACTTGAATTCTGTTCACTTTGATTACTCAACATTCAGATTCATTAAAGATATTTGATTTTTAATTACATGAATAATTTTTCCTCATTCCCAAATTCAATAATTTGTTTTCCTCGGGAAAAGAATCCAAGGTGTCAAAAACATGCAGAAGTGTTAACATATGTGATTGCATCATAGATTTCTGTCTGTTTGGGGTGTATATCTTTGCGTAAGGTTTATTAATCTCCCTCTTAAAATCTGAAGCTCTTACTTATAATTTTTAATGTTTGTTTACAGCAAACTCTAAGGAAAGTATGGTGGTTTCAAATACAGCATTTTTACAAAACTAAATTTACTCGCCAACTCTATATGTTTGGTCGTCATTGGCGAGCAGAAATTTCATGCTCTGATTTACAGATAAATGTTCTTTAAAACAAGCCTAGAGAGAGAAACAAATTTTAACAAGATTCAGTTGTTTGAAGATTCGGCTGTTCGGAATATTTGGTAATATTTAGCTGTTTGGTACGATTCAAAATCAACTGAGGAGCCAAATCAACTAAATATAATGGAGTTTCTATTTATAAAAAATATCACTATTTTGAATTTTCTTTATTTGGACAGTTTGAAATCACGCTCTAACTAATCGAGGAACAATATTTTTTTCAGAACGTATAAAACAGTGGGAAAATTATTTCTATATAGCAAAACATTCTAGGCAATAATTTAAAAAGAAATGCATTTGTCCCTTTTTTCCTTCTCTTTATTAATTCTCTTTCATTATAGTGTTAACACTTAATATATATCCCTATCGATTCTAATCATCAATAAGATAGAATTAAAATACACAAACACTAATTTCAACCATAAATGAAAATGAAAGGCATTTGTTTTGTCAACTTAAATATTAATTATTAACCCTTAATGAGGGTACTTTTATGATTACACTCTTGATAAGGATTCTTAACTAAAGCCATTAAATACGAAACACGTCCTGCAATTAATATTCATTATATACTAATAATTTTGCTCCGGCAATGTTTTCTTCTTTATTTTTGGTTGAAATGAAAATAATTTCTTTAGTTTTGATTTGGTCGAAGCAGCGAATTATTTTAGCAAGTTTCGCACATGAAAAATAATATTTTATTTAAGAAATAATATCGTACGTTTATGCACCATTGCCTAAATCAATGGGCAAATTATTTAAATGAACGCTACATTTTTTAAAGAAATTTCTTTTATTTTTAGTTTATTTACTGAATTTTCAACTTTATTCCATCAACAACAAAAAAAAAACATACTATTAATATCAAAAGAAATAATTATATATTTTCCTTTAAGTCACTAACCGTTTCATGTTAAGAAACTAACGTATTTTAAAAAATTTTCAACAGAAAGCGTTTACCACAATTGAATTATTAACATTTTATAAATGTCTTCAGAATAAATACCTGAAAAAATAAAATTGGAGAAAAATTAACGCAGTGTTAATGAAAATTTTTTTTATTGAAATGGTGTAAATTTGTTAAATTGCAATTTTAAATTATATAATTTAGTTTATTATTCAAGATTATTTATTTTTATTTCATTGTTTTTAGCCATGAAACAAAGACGTCATCGTGGTTGCCACCCGTGGAATCCTGGGATTCAGGAGGAATTGGATTGCCATATGGATGGGAGGCTGCTTTTGATCGAGAAGGCAAAACTTATTTCATTAAGTAATTATTTTAGCTATTTACATTAAAACTGTTTTGATTTCAGCCTGATATAGTTAGCACCAATTGTTTTGCTTATAATATTTAATTAACAAGGGACTAGAATATTCAGGAAGCACATTAACACGAGTTAAAGAGTTCCATGCCACGTGTAGGGGGATGTAAAAAAATTGTAAAAATGCGCTCTGTACAGTATGCTGTTTTAATTTATAGAAAACTAAAATTTGCACCAAAGATTACCGAATTGGGAAATTTGTTTTATCAAGGGCCTTGGGGGAATACATATTTGTCAACTCAAGCAACAACAACAAAAAAACATTATTTTATTAATAAGAATCAACTGAATTATATCCTCAATCAAGCTGAGTCGAGAAGTTTAATAAGTATGTTAAGAAATATTATAATTTGCTGAAGGGACCATTTTGATGTTTTAGTATTTTCGAACATGAATATGGCCGTCATTCTTATGTTTTATTTTTTTTAATATTACTCTTGAAACCACATCACATTTTTGAATGTCGGCAAATTTGAGTTTTTTTTTTTTTTTTTTTTTTTTTTTTTTTTTTTTTTTTTTTTTTTTTTTTTTTNTTTTTTTTTTTTATTTATTTTTTTTTTTAAATTGAAATTAAAAGCACGTTATCAATCACCGCCAATCTGTTATCAAGTATGCCAAGATATTTTATTTTTCATTCTACCCAGTATATCTCGTGTTACGGTTTTTGAAATATCTCACATTTTATGTCCACCCTTTACTTTCAAATTGGTGCTCCCTTGGCGTAATCAGCAGATACGCTTTGCGTCCACCACCGGTTTGAGAACTGGGTCGTCATACGCAGCATGGGGCACGTTAAATCTGTCTTGGCTGACGTGCCACTCGTTGGCTGTGGTGTGGAAATTTGGATGAACAGGCACCAGCTAAGACACTGTTTCTATAATCTGATCGGAGTCAAAATTACGGAGCATTCCTAACATGGTGGCTCATGAGCTGTCTTGAGCCACGACGGCTACGGAAACAGAGTGTTAGCCTTCCAATGAGGTGAACCGGGTTCGAATCCCAGCGATAGCTGGTCAATATGAATTCCAAACCCAGCTCGCTCCACCAACGGTGTCGACGTAAAATTTCCTCAGGGGTAAACGAATCATGGGTTAGAGTCCCGTTGCCATCAGTCTAGCCGTGAGAAGTTTTCGTGGTTTTCCTCTCCGTGTAACGCAAATACGGGTTAGAAGCATAAAAAAGTCCTCCACGACGGCAATTTTCTCCCAATACTTGATCAAAGAGTTTCCTTGTCTTCTGGATCGGGTTCAAAATTACAAGGCTGCGGAGTTGAACATTATTAGTCGTAAACACAAAATTGGGTCGGCTGCTCAACGATGGTTTTAATACCATGGCCGTTTAAGTATTAAGCCAGAATAACGGGACTAGGTGCTTGGCCATGGTTAGGTAATGTGTATTTTCAAATTATCAGAAAATGAAATTTTGCTTGGAATTGTATATGACAAACACCAGAAATGTTTGTTTCCACCTGTTTTAGATTAGTTTACTTACTTTATTTTAATTAGATAAATTATTCTATTTTTATTAAAACATAAACATTATAGCCAAACATTATATTAAAACATGATTTTATTTATATTAAAACATATTCTTTTATATCTTAAAAATTATACTTTTTTTTATATATATATTTCAAAGTAAAATTATAGAAATTGAAATTTAATACATTTTAACTCGGAAATATTTAAAAAATTGATCAATATGATTTTAAAATAGTTTTATTTCGATATATTGCTCTACGGTTATAGTTTTTAAAGAATTAAATCTGTTATAAATCCATCTTAAAGCAGCGTATAATCGTATCTTTTGTTAATGTATAACGTAAATGTATCTTATGGTAATTTATCTAACAACAAAAAAATAATCAAAAAATTTGACAAAAAAACACTTTTATTTTCATCTTCAATTTCAATTTCCTTAAAAAACAACGATTTTATCATAACTATATATTACCTAAAATGTTAGTTTGTTAACTATTAATTTAAAGGATTAATTATTAATCACTTTAAATTTAAGTTACATTTTTTTATCGATTTTGATTAAATGTAATTTATATATCGATATATGCATACGCAATAAATATCGATAGCGGAAAAATAGACTTCAACGAATGAATTTCTAGAATTTTAATTTGAATAATTTTCTTATTAAGATTTAATTTTAATGACAATTTTTAACTGCGGTGTTTCGAAATTATTAATGCAACGAGAAAATTGAGGGTTAATTATTCATCGCATCCAACAAAGAGTTAATTACAGACAAAAATGCTGCATCTGGAATTCTAAATTAACTCGGGGCCCAAATTTTTTAATAAAATATCTGTCGTCTGCGAACCCATTTTCAAGCTGCACTATCCAGACTCGTTTTTATAACTTTATTCTGTTACTTGCTAATTAGTTGAGCGTTCGTATTAGCATTCTTTTCACCTCTTCTGTAATTCTTTCTTTCGTTTACGAACCTCATTAAAAACTGAAATATTCTTTCGACCAAAGTAACTAAATCAACTTTTTTTTCTTCTTGCAGGTTTCCTTATAATTAGAAGCTCGATAAATAGCAAGTTTCTTTTTCACTAGTTTCTTTTTATTTTTTGTTAAAAAAGGTAAATGGTTAGTTAGCCTTATTTTAGTTACAGCAAACTAATATAATTTTTTTCGCATAAAAATGATACAAATGTTAAATGCACCATACACTTTTTTTACTTCTAATGATAATTTTTTTTCTTGCCCTATAAATAAAAAAGTTTACGAATAAGTATGACATTTGAAATGTGTGCCAAAATAACTAAATTTTTACATTTATTTATTTATTTTTACTTCATTTTATTTAATTTTCGAAAAGTCAAGTAATGACAGCGTATAAAAACAATTAGCAAAGAACAAATCTATGAAAGCACAAGTGAAAAAAATATTATAATAATGCATGAGAATGCATAAAGCAATACATAAAAAAAGCATGTAGTAACATGCGAAATTATATAAAGCAACGTATATAAGCAAACATAAAAAATGAAACAAATGTAAAGACAAAGAGAAAAAACTGTTGTCAAATAATATTTCGCGCAATTATAATATATTACTGGCAAATATATTAATCGACTGACCTATTCAACTCTTTGAAAACGTTGGTACAACATTGAATCCTAATATCAGTACCTAAAATCCTTATATCGTGGAAATTTGAAAATTTGCAAAAACATGTAGTAATACGGAAACGTATGATGCAATATATAAAAACAAGTAGTAATCTATGGAAACAATATTGTCGGGGAAAAACCATCCACAAAATATATTTCGTGTTACATTTTGAGAAAGTTGGTTCAACTTTGAATCAATTCATATCAATACCTTGAACCGTAATATCATTGAAATTTGAAAATTGAAAAAAGAAACATTTAATACGATTCGAAAATGTATGATGCAAAGCAAAAAAATAGTAATAAAGTATGAAAATATATACAATACAGTAAAAACAAAACTATTCACAAATAATATGTAGTGTTACACATTGAGAAAGTTGGCCCAACGTAGAATCAATTCATATCAATACCTTGAACCCCAATATCGTTGAAATTTGTAGAAAAAAAAACATGTAATACGATTCGAAAATGTATGATGCAACACACACAAAAAAAGTAATAATGTATGAAAATATATACAATACATTCAAGAAAAAAACCATTCACAAATTATTTTTCGTGTTACACTTAGGAAAGTTGGTTCAACGTTTAATCATTTCATATCAATTCCTTGAATCTTAATATCTTTGAAATTTGAAAATGGAAAAAACAAGTAGTAACATGCGAAAATATCTGATGCAACACATAACAAATGTATGACAATACAACCAAGAAAAAACTGTCCTCTATTAATATTTCGGGTGGTCCTGAAAAACTATTAAAAAAGTTGAATTATAATATTAATACCTTGAATTGTAATGTCAAGGAAATTCTCGACAGTCTTAAAAAAAGTTTAATTAAATCATGCCGAGCAATCAAGTCTTAAATGGTTTAATTTCCACGATAATGGAGAGATTTTGCATAGCCTTACGATTTTCGATAATACTATTAAAGCTTAACAATGCATGAGCGAAAATTTCTCAATAAAACGCAGAATCTCTCAAGGGGAGAAAATAATTTAACGTCGCGGTAAAGCGCAAAACAAAAGCCATGCAAAATCTCTCTATTTATTATTTATTTTCGTAAGTTGCAGCAATTTTCACAATTGTGATTTAAGGCTGCCCAGTGTGTTTAACATTTCATAAATATACAAGAAAAACAACTTATCTGTTTTATTTATATTTTGGAGTTCTATCATGTCCAGATTAATTATTTCATTCTTACTCATCCTATTTTCAACGTTAACGTCATTCTATTTGTAACGTTTTTACGTTTTAAATTTTTCGAGCATGATTTAACTGCTCAATAATTTAAGTTATTTATTAAGAAAAACAATGCAAATAGTCTCTATCTAAAATGATAAAATATGAATTCACCATCTCTAAAAGTAAAAAGCGTGTCAGCTGCAATTTTCCTAACAGCTCTTTCAACTAAAATAAATATTTTTCTTTTCTACAAAGTTTCATAAAATAGATCAACTGTGAAGCATCTTTCTTCTTATTATTTACGAACTAACTATAAAAAAACTGGTTTAAGTTTTAATTTCAAAGATAGAGTTATAGTTAAGCCTTGTTTTAGCAATGGATCCTAAGAGAATTGTTCAAGCGTTTTTATTTTTTGCTTACTAGACATAAAGTAATTCTTAAAAGATATTTCCCGAAACGGTTATCTTCAACTATAATCATCAACGTAATTTTTCTTCAATGATAATCATTTCAGAAATCTATTGAAACAATTGTAAACATTTTTTTTATCCTCCAGTGAACGTGTTACGCTCATTCCGTTTTTTTAAATTAACTACTCATAATTTAAATTTCGAAGAAAAATATTTTG